TTGCACACCCATATTTGTCACCACCTTTAGTTGGGTGTGTCTTCACACCTGATATCACAGATCCTATGTTCCACGTGTTTTTCCCTACTTCTTTATATAGTTTGCTTGTTCTTTAGTCTAGCATTGTAATCAGAACCACTTCTGAGGCTCTTAAATCTCTTAGGCTGTAGTGGATAAAAAACAGGAATGGAGTCCCTCAGACTCTCCAGGAAGATAGAGTTTATTTTACGTCGACAGGCCCTCAGACAGGTCAGCCCTGTGACTTGAGAGCCCCTCCCTAATGTAATCAACATCCTTATATACCATCTTACATAGTTAGTTTATAATTATATTAACACATGCATAATTCAACATTTTCATTGGTTACAAGATATAATTCCAAACCCCTCTTTTCCTGATTACGTTACACTTCTATTTGTCATGCATGAACTATGCTGGCATTTCAGTTTTCCTTACTTTACTCTTATCTCTTTGGCTGACCTGTGTGTCTGTCTTCAAGGTTGAAGACAACATTCCTTGCTATCTTTTCCAGTGAAGCCAAACTAGAAGCCTTTTACAATTGCTTTGCAAATGCACAATTTTAAACATAGAATATTAGACCCCAAGGGTCATCCAACCCATCCCCGAATTAGCCATGAACCTTGTAGTTTTATTCATATTATTTCATCCGTTACTTGGTTACCCACCACCTAGAATTTAGTGCCTCAAAACCACATTACCTCTGGTGGCAGTTCTATAAGAATGGCCATCAACAGTGGATCAAAGTACAGAACAACCCTCATATCTGCAGGGGCTATGTTCCAAGACCCCCATGGAGACATTAAACTGCAGATAATAGGGACCTCTCATGTTCAATGAGATGAACGACTGAGAACACTTCTCATTGCTAGGTCCTTTAGTGCAACTCTATGGTTGCTTGGGCAAGAAATTGACTATAGAATCACACTGTAGAAATACCCAGAGAGAGCATATTTTTACCAATGTGGGGAAGTGAATTGTGAGTAAACTACCCTATGTCTTTTTAAAGGATAACTTATACTTTTACTAGGCTAGATACATGTGTGGGGTGATGGAGGCTAGTTTCTTGCTACAGTCACCTCTCCACATTCATAGGGGGTTAGAGGCCAAGGACCCCCACAAAAGTGGAAAAAACATGAATATGTTAGCCCCCCCCCCAATTTGGATGATAAAGTGTCCTCTCCCAGCCACCCCTAACTCACTTTGCAACCTTGAAACACATAAGGGCTTATCACACACCGTTTAAAGCAACTTATCCCAGTCACATTTAATTTTGAAACTGGAACTTATCGTGTGTGCCGGTGGCCAGGTAAGTGCAACAGCTGCACTTATCCGGCTTTTCAAAAACAGAAAACTCCTGTTTTTGAAAAGATGCCAGATAAGTGTGGCTGGGGTCTGAGATGCAGTTAGTTTGTACTCGTCCAGCCCCTGGCGTGTGAGATTAGGTCCGAATTCAAAATTAAATGAGACTGGGATAAGTTGTTTTAAATGGTGTGCCATAAGCTCCATAGCCTCTCCCACATTTCCAGAATGCTTCCACTTTCAATCTGATGTTAGCAGCCTCGGCTGCAAAGGATCCACCTTTTCTCCGCTTCCTACTCCTGCTCCCTTCCAGCCAGACAAAAGCAACACTGTATCTTCCCCACTTTGGCAAACTTTGCATTCTCCTCCTTTCCAAATCTTTCCACTCTGAATCCAATGTTTGCAACCATCACCACAAAGGGAAGGTACGTGTTGCTTTTTTCTGGCTGGGAGGAGGAGGAGGGGAGAGAAATTGGCTCCTCCTGGGAGTGGCTGCAAATATCAGATTGAAAGAGAAGGTGTTTGGAAATGAGGAGGATGCAAAGAAGTTTGGCAAAGCAGGGGAATGTACGGTGTTGGTTTTGGCTGGCTGGGAGGAAGGGTGAGGAGGAGTGGGGAGTTAAGAAGTTGACCGTATTAAGCAGCAGCTGTAAAGTTGCAAAGAGTCAAAACTAACAAATCTGAAACCCACAAATGTGAAGGACTCACTGTATTCCTGACCTACTGCTTCAATACTATTTTAAACTCTGCTAAAAAGATTAACCAAATATCAATTGTTTTTAACTAAACTCATTAATTGCTAGGTCCTCCAATGCAATTCTATGTATGCCTAGGCCAGAAGTTGACTGTAGACTCACACTGGAGGACCCAGAAATATCTAGAGAGATCATACTTTTCCAGATGTGGGTAAATGAAACCGCAGATACAGTTGCTCCTCCATGTCCATGGATTCAACTATCCATGGCTTGAAAATATGTAAATATATATATAAATTCTACAAAGTAAAACTTGACTTTGCCATTTTATATAAGGGAGACCATTTCACTACACCATTGTATTTAATGGGACTTGAACATCCATGGATATTGGTATCCATGGGGGTCTTGGAACCAAACCCCAGCAACAACCCACTGTACTGACTTCACAAATATAGGGGTTGTACTGTATCCATGCCATGAATGAGGTCACTGTCTTCATCCCTTACCTTCTGGACAGCTTGACCTTCTGAAAGCCTTAGTTTGCAAGGATTCCCTTCTGGAAGGCTGAGAGTTGTGGAATGCTTTCTCTCACAGTGGCATCAAGGTGATTGTTCTTTTGACTGAAAGCTCAAGGGCAGAAAAGGGGAACATTTGCCATCTACTACAGAAACCCACTGGGTCACTCTTGGCCATCGACCTGGATGACTGCGACTGATGGGAACTGGAGTTCAACAACAGACTGAATAATATATTACAGGTTCTCAGTTCTTGGATTATTAAACAACAACAACAATTTTTAAAAAGGCAAAGCCATTTCAGATTATTTTGTAAACTGGTCCAGGGAAGAATATGGCAGAATTATGCAAGGGTGTAGGCATGGTGGGGGAAGTGTGGTGTAGTGGTTTGAATGTTGGACTACAAGTCTGGAGACCAGGGTTTGATTCCTGGCTCAACCACGAAACCCACTGGGTGACCTTGGGCAAGTCACATGTTCTCAGCCCCAGGGAACAAATCTTGCCAAGAAAATGATAGGGTTGCCATAGGGTCATCCTAAATTGAAAACAACTTGAAAGCACACAACAACAACAGAAACAAACACCCAAATAGAATTCTGCCTCCCCCATGAACTTTTATGTCTGTCCCCAAATTTCTAGCATTTCATTAACTTGAAACTTTTAAGGAAAATTTTAGAAAAAAAACTTTGCCTGCTCCAAAGAGAAGGGGCAGACAGAGTCATGAATGATATATGAACACAAAACATCTAAGAGTTCTAGATGTGAATTATTTTCATTGTCTTACTCTCTATATTGTTAGAAAATTGGGGACTGAAGGAAAAATTTGTGAGGTTCAGAATTCATATTTGGAGGGGCAGTGTCATTATTTTGCCCCCTAGAGGATAAGAAGTGTGATTGAAACTGAGATTATTGCATGTCTGACTTACCCCTACTGTGTTGAAGTCAATTATGTGGAAGAAGAGCTTGAACCTGGAGAATTGCTAAAAGTTCAAGTCTCCAATGGGATCTTTTATCCCATGTTTATGGAGGTGGCTAGGGAATAGACTGATAGAGACAAACCTTTTTCAGTGAGTCTGTGGTTTATTGGGGATTCAAACATACAAAGACACTCTAACATTCACTCAAGCACACAAGAATTCAGGAATAAAGTAGTTAGCTTGGATAGGAAACAGAAGGCTTTCTAACGGTAATAATTACCTGACGAAGGTTGCTCCAACAATGAAAGAAGATGGATAGACTCAACTGTGCATGAAAGGAAAAGGACAATGGGAAGAGGTAGGACCCAAGTCAGAATTCATAGTGTCACAGTGTCACCATGAAATCTAACCAGACCCCAATGTGCCTGAGATTTTGGGGGTCTTAAACCTAGCCTGAGGCAAAGATTTGCTATTGTATATAAAAGGATTCTGGATTGATACTCTTTGAAGTAGACAATTTCCAAAGAGGGGAGATGGAGTGTTTATGTTATCTATCTCATCCTCAGCTGGACACATCCTGGCTGGTACTCATAAATCTCCTAGGTATGAATGTCCTGCTTTACAGCTCCTAACCCTGGCCTTTTGATCTGCTAATTCATTGTAAAGGCAGATGAATCCATTCAGGTGCCTACGTGAGGCCTTCGCCTTGGATCCATGGCGGTTGAGCTTTTCCAGTTTAGGTCCATGACAGGAGACCCACAAAGGGTTTATATATATATATATTAGAACAATGCTTATAACATATGTGATAAAGTCAGGTATTATCACATGCAAAATGCCACTGATGCCTGACCAAATCCTGGCTAACTCCCAGCTAGAAGCCGCACTCAGATGGCCGATTTGCAAAGTGGGGTGGTAATAAAGATATTTGTTGATATAAAGAAGATGCAGAAATTAAGGAAGGTATATGGGTAATATAGACTAAGTAAAATTTACATATTCTAAAAGTGATGGCAGTAAATGTGTCATGGCTTTCTGATGTAAAATAACCCAACTTTTTATTTATTGAATAAGTGAGGTTAGTGTTTTGGTTGGGAAGATATTCTGTGATGGAAAGTCGACCCAAGGGAACCCTTAACTCTGTGTTAATGAAGTTTGTTTGTTTATATATGGGCCAATAAATTTCCCTGAGTTACTTAAAAATTGGATTGAATGGAGTTCCCTGCAGTGTGATTATATGGGTGTCTTGCAGTTGGATTTGTCAGCTGTATAGCAGTATATATTTCTGCCACCTCTGTTTAATTCAGGCTTTACACAGGCATAGTCTTTTCTGTTGTCGCTGTTGTCTCCTGTGTTGGTGAAGATTTAACTCAGTAGGGCTGAAAGTAATGCCTGGTACAGACCAGTCAAAAGACCTGGCCTGGGAGTGGAGTCGGGGCAGTGGAGTTGAGCTGCCCCAAATCCACCCCGATGCTACCATCATGCTGCGTGCCCCATCGCACAGTAGGCAGCGTCAGGGCGCTCCCTTGGTGCAGCGTACAGACACACTGCACCAAAGGAGTGCAGAAAAGCTGCTGCCACTGTGACAGCAGGGGTAACTTTTTGCCACTCCAAAAAGGAGCGGCATTTGCCAGCTCTTTTTGGAGTGACAAAGTGCCGGCAAAGTTGCCACAGCCCCAATCCGGCGCTCCCACATGGCACAGAGCCACTCTTTAGGGGCCATCTATGGAGACCCTAAGACACTGCCATCAGAGATCCAGGATGGAGACAGGGTGGTTGCAGGGTTCAGACCATGGCTGGAGTCCACACTGCAAAAATAATCTGGTTTGACACCATTTTAACTGCCATTGCTCAGTGCTATGGAGTTCCCAGAATTCCATAGCACTGACCCATGGCAGTTAAAGTGATGTCAAATCAGATTATTTCTGCAATGTAGACACAGCCCATGAAAGGGTGTCTTCATTTTTAGGTTTATAGGACTGAAAATGATAACATGGCTGTTCCCATTGTGTAGCAGTAGTATGGGGGAAAGCTACAACAGAATTTGATTCCTTACAGGCATCCATATTCCTACACATGGCTCCTGAACACTGTGAGATTTGCTCTCTCATAAGAATACCTAGGAGTGAAGTCAATTGAAACTAATGAGGAATTGTTTTATATATCCTGACAAGGGTTCCAGTTAAAATTGGTCAAAAACATGAAAATATCAATTACGGTAGATTTCTCCTCAATTTGTTAGCCACAGGTCTGTTTAAACTGTCTGCCTTATTTTTAACACTCTGCCTTATTTTAGTGAGCCAAGACCTTGAGAATTATTCTACCTTAGTTCATCAAATGAATGATCTTATAATTCTCCCTCCTATCTTTACTAGTGACTACTTCTGAATAACTGTGTAAAATCAGTAATAACTTCTCCTTGCTGTTTGTGGGATAGTTATTATCTTCATTTAGGAATTTTTTAACCTGAAAGTGGTTCTTTGAATAGGAAAAAACAAGGAAGGAGATGGGGTTTTATTGCTAAACTCTACGATTTATTCATGCACATGTAATTCATTCATTGTTAGATAAACAAGACAGGTGGTGATAGTGGGAAGAGATTTATTTCTCATTTACACAGTTTTTCTTCATTTAATAAAGGTGTGGGAATCATGTGATCTTCCAGATGTTGGACTACAACTTCCAGCGGCCCTTGCCAGAATAAGCAATAATGAGGAATGCTGGATGTTCAGCAACATCTAGAATACCCACACCTGATCTATAATAGAGAACATGCTACAGCCCACATGTATGCTGTGTATAGTGAGGAGATTCTACCTGCTCTTTCTGCCCTGGGTTTTATGTCTTCTGCTTTTGATACAAAATGAAAAATAAGAAAACTTTATTCTGTATCATAATTTCCTTAACTCATCACAGTTTGGCAGGCTGTCCATCTATCAAACTAGATCAAAAGAGGGTGGGGTGTTTTTCTGCTAGGTTTCCTACATGATGATTCAGAAGATGTTTATGTGTGTGTGTATATCAGTGTATTAAAAATTCACACCTATCATTTTCATCTTGTTTTTGTTGTACTTTTCAGTGTTACAAATGTTCTCTATGATGAATTAAACAAAATAGTACAGTATATACCAGCCAGGATGTGAAAATACATACTTTCTATTATGATATTTTACTCTAACAATTATATTTTATTATAATTCAGTGATGATATTTACAGTCATTTTCTGTAATAGGCCTAGCATTGTGTAAGAAGATTTGGTTGTGTAATCCAAAAGTTCTTCTAGGATTCTGCTCTTGTTCCAAATGAATAGCAACTAATTTTTATTTCCTTTTTAAATATGACTTCAAGTCAATTAAGACTTATAGCAACCCTATTACAGAGTTTTCTTGGAAAGATTTATTCAGAGGAGGTTTGCCATTGTCTTCCTCTTAGTCAAAGCATTTGCCTTCTTTTGAGGCTGAGATATTGTGACTTGCCCAAGGTGGGTTCCAAGGCTAAGCATGGATTCAAACCCTTTTCTCCTGAGTCATAGTCCAACACACAAAAACATTGTATCAAGCTGGCTATCAAGAGAAGTTTGATTCTCTGAAGAGAAACTTCTGCCCCATCACCTTGTTATTCTTACTGTGATGTTATCTTATGGTCATTGTCAACACAAAGTTAGGAGATTATCTCATTACAAAATAACACGACCAATGGAATAACAAAAGCAAAAACAGAGTTAGAAGAAATTGTCTTGGCAGATAACAATAAAATATTATCCAAATTATATAGATGCTTATTAATATTAGACATGGAAGAGGAAATAGTAAAAGAAAATATGCTAAAATGGGCCCAAAACTTTGGTTATGAAATTGAACTTAAATAATGGGAGATATCATGGAAAAAGAGGTTGAGATATACCTTATGTCAGGATATTAAAGAAAAGTACTACAAGATTCTTTACAGATATTATCTAACACCAGATTGAATATCCAAAATTCAGAGGAGATGCAGTAACAAATGTTGGAAGTGTCATACAGAAAAGAGAATCATTTACCACATGTGGTGATCATGCCAGAAAGCTAAACGGTTTTGACTGCAGATTTATGGTATAATAAATGAAATTTTTGAGATAAGTATGCAATTTAAGCTTGAAATATCTTTATTAAATATGTTAGAAGAAAAAATAGAAAATAAACACAGAATAATAATTTTTTATATGATATCCTGCAGCCAGAATGATTTATGATAAAATGTGGAAATGAGATGAAACTCCAAACATGGAAGATTGGTCTATCAAAATGTTGGACATGCTGGAAATGGACAAGTTTATTATTATTATTATTATTATTATTATTATTATTATTATTATTATTAAGTTAACCAGACACTTAAATAAAGAAGATCCAGAAAATTATTTTATGGACTGGAATAGAACAATAGAATATACAATCCAAAGATGGGGGAAGAATGTCACAACAGATTGTGACTAAGAATTTAACTAGAAATTGTGAAATGTAATACAGTCATGGGTAAACATG